TCAGGAAGAGAATTGTGGACCTCCACAAGTCTGGTTCATCCTTGGGTACAATTTCCAGATGCCTGAAGGTTCCACGTTCATCTGTTCAAACAGTTATACTCAAGTATGAACACCATGGGAATGTCCAGCCATCATACCGCTGAGGAAGGAGACGGTTCTGTGTCCCAGAAACCACCGAAACTAAAACTGAACTGTTTGGCCATAATGACCATCGTTACATTTGGAGGAAAAAGGGGGAAGCTTGCAAGCCTGAGAACACCATCCCAAATGTGAGGTATAGGGTGGCAGCATCATGTTGTGAGGATATTTTGCTGCAGGAGGGACTGGTGCATTTCAGAAAATAGATGGCATCATGAGGAAAGAACATTATGTGGAAATATTGAAGCAACATCTCAAGACATCAGCCAGGAGGTTAAAGCTTGGCCACTAATGGGTCTTCAAATGGACAATGACCCTAAGCATACTGCCAAATTAGTTACAAAGAGACTTCAGGACAACAAAGTCAATGTTTTGGAGTGGCCATCACAAAGCCCTGATCTCAGTCCTGTAGAAAATTAGTGGGCAGAGCTGAAAAGGCGTGTGGAGCAAGGCAGCCAACAAACCTGACTCAGTTCCACCAGTTCTGTCATGAGGAATGGGCCAGAATTCATCAAACTATTGTGAGAAGCTTGTGGAAGAAAACCCAAAACGTTTGACCCAAGTTATACAAGACAATGCTACCAAATACTAAGGAAATGTATGTAAACTTCTGCCACTGAAGAAATTCATAAAAAAAAAAAATCTAACAAATTCTCTCTCTCTCATTATTCTGGCATTTAGAAAATAGAAATACTGCAAAATATAAATAAAACTACCTAAAATGTTTCTCTTGCTGAACATCTGTTTATCAACAGGCATGACATTTTACTGATGCTTCCCAAATGCCTGTCATGCCAGTTATAGTAGATGCTAGTTTGGCAGCTGTGCACAGAGAAGCCTCTCATCTACACTCAGTTACTGCAGCTCAGGTGCATAACCAAAGATTACACTAAAAGAGGCAAATAGGGTGTTCTAATGTCAGATTTATCCATGCTGACTAGCTGTCTAAGCATTTTAAATGTCAAGAATGCAATCAAATGCAATTTTTATTGTGCAAAGCCAAAATTATGAGCCTGAATAACATTCCATTAATTGTGCAGCCCTACAACTGAGTTGAATTTCTCTATTGCAACCAAGTCTTTCTTCTCCATGTTTTTCTCCTGTTCTTTGCTCATTTGCTATGCACCTGCAGAGACTACATATCAACAAACTCTCTCTTGTGAACCAAGTAAAAACTCAGTGTGTCCAAGAACCCTTAAATATGAGTTAATGATGTTCTATCAGACAGACTTCTCTTGTAGATCAGTCACTAAAAAAATAACTGTGTCAATTTTCTTTTGTATCAAGCAGCAAAGAAAGTAGTGACATGAGTATATTTTCCGCCTGCTTTGGGACTATTGCACATGCACGTCACAATGTCGGTGCAGAAATGATCAATCATGCAGCACTAGAAACTCACCTTTGTTCATTAAAATGAAGCATTTAAAAGTTCTTACCTGAAATAATCCCTTCTTGCCTTAGATGTGACTCTACACCGCTACTTCTTCTAAAATGTGTAGATCTATGAAGTCCCGGACTCTCTCTCCCCCCATTTACTGCAACTCTCACCTTGTTTCCTTTGTTACATGACAAATCCTGGAACTCTCAATCCATGTTTTTTAGGCTATCATTGGTATGCTGCAGCTTTAATGTGGAAATACAATGTTGACTGCTTATTTTGTTCATGTTATATCTTTTTTCTTCTGTAAAAACTACCATATGGACTGGAGAGTGTCTTTGGGTTTAATTCTGTTCCATATTTTGAACTGTATTTTAAATAAACAATTGTGTTATGAGTCTCATTTGCTGTTTCTTCTTGGCTGTCACAGGTAAAATCTTAAACGACGACACCCCACTGAAAGAGTACAAAATCGATGAGAAAAACTTTGTGGTGGTCATGGTTACCAAGGTAAGTGTCTCTTTAGATTGTTCTTTGGACTAAGTCATGTCATACTCTGTGTCTTCCTTTTAAGAGAAATATTGATTTTATTCATTAATTCTTTTTTCCCCTACCATTGCCTTGTGGGGGGCAGCCTGCCCCCTAGAAATCAAATATGAGTTGGGTCTTATAGTCCTCCGTGTGTGTGTGTGTGTGTGTGTAATATTTACTACTATTATATTATTTAACTTGATTACAGAATGTGCAATACTTATGTGCTGCTCATGAGCCGATAATAACCTATCTGTTTCAGTGCCAGAGATTATTTACAAAAGTTTCTATTATTTCTTTTTTTTTTTTTTTTTTACTTTATTTAACTTAACACAGTCACAGTTTTTGCAATACTGTTCAATCCTCTATGCCATCTAATGTTGAAAACAATTTACATCTTTCTCATTGTCATCCTTGCATATGGCGCAGTTGATATTTTGATGGTGCCTCATGAGGTAATGCTCAAATGTTTTAACTCTATTACACAGTGAATACTGAACAGTTTCATATTCCCACAAGCACAAGAGGACAAGTGTTGGCTCACCTTGACTGTCCAATACAACTCCTTATGATCTTGTTGCACTTAGACCAAAGTCAACCTCAATACAACAGGTGTAGAGTGCTGATTGAACAATTGAAAAACAGCGTATGATAATGGAGACTGTTTAGTCTGTTTACCAGTTGGCATAAACCTGCAAAGGGGACTGAGTTCAGTGTTGCTCAGTTTCTTTAGGTTAACAAACAGATACAGACAGAAACATTGTCCATCACTGGCACACGGTTAAAGGAAGCATTTGCCTGTGTCTCTGCTCTCTACTTCAGGGAAAATGGCAAACAACTGTGGCCCTGAATGATTGAACTCTGTTGGTGTACTGCAATTAGTGTTGCAAAAATGTGTATTGAACTTTCCCTGTGTCTTAAACAGACTTTCAGAAGCAACCATGCCATTGGAGTGAAATCAGTGAGGCTGCGGTGTTTGGTCATCATAACCACACTACTAATGAGCAATTCTCAAATTTCCTTCTAGCCTAAATCAACCCCTCCTTCACAAACAGCCCCTCAGCCAGCTCTCCAACCAGCTACAACTCCAGCACCATCATCAGCTGCAGCCCCAGCACCAGCCTCTGGCCCCACACAAATACCATCCACACCAACACATACATTGTCTGCGCCCATACCTGCCCCACAGTCTGTACCTCCCTCTGAATCCCCACTCCCCATCACAGAAAACACACTGCTGGCTTCAGTTGAAGCAGCAGCAGCTTTGGACTTACACTCTGCTACAGACTCAGCACCAGCATCTGGCTCTGCTGCCACTCCAGCTTCTGCCTCAGTTCCAGCTCCTGAGGCGGTTCAGGCAGCCCCAGCCTCAGCCCCAGCAGACTGCCCCACCTCTGCTGCCCAGCCGGAAGAAAAACCAAGGGAAGACCCTGAGAGTGAACCCCCTGCTACTGCACCAGTCCAACAGTCCTCTGCTTCCAGGTAAGAAGAAACCCATGTTTATGTACACAGAGTGAGTGAAGTTGGTGCCGTGGCTGTAGGAAAGAATTACAGTCGCTTTGACAGTCCTTAATTTTTTCTTCATCATCAGATCTTTGTTTCAAAGTATTGACTTTCCCATCTGCCCTTGGTGCCCTAGAATAAGACAGACAGACAGACAGACAGACAGACAGACAGACATGGAACATAATCACAGACCCCACTCATCCTGGTCATAAACTGTTCTCCCTCCTCCCCTCTGGCAAACGATACAGAGTCCTGCATACTAAAACCTTCAGACATAAAAACAGCTTTTATCCCACTGCCATGGCTGTACTGAACAGCTGAGTCAGTATCAGCCATAACACTGCAGACTACTTACATTGTTATTTGCACTGCTATTTTTTGCACCACTGTTCATATATTTTTTCTGCTAGATGTGTATATTCTTGTATATGAATCTTATTTTATTTATTGTTATTATTATTTATTTTATTTTATTTTTTATTTTTCTGATTCTGACAGACAGACAGACAGAGAGAGGCTTTATTGTCATTGTACAAAATACAACAAAACTTGTGTGGTAACTCAGAACAATCAGCAGCAGTGCAACATGGAATACGCTTCAAGAAAATAACTTAACAGAGCTCAGTATACCTCTTGTCTTCTTTTTTAAAATTAAATTTAATGCTTATTTTTGTGCTTTGGACTGTTTACACTTTTCCTGTATTTCTCTGCTCATTTCTAAGCCTTGTTGATGAACTGGGTCTCCTTGAAGAAGCAGCATCAATTCTGGGTAATTCATTGTGATTTTTCTTTTCTCTGTCATATATGTATACAGTATATATACAGTCATGGATGAAAGTATAGGCACCCCTGGAATTTTTTCCATAAAATACACCATTTCTCCCAGAAATTGTTGCAATTACTAATGTTTAATTTACAAAATTTACAAAATTTTGCACAAAACTTCAAAAATGGGCCGGACAAAATTGTTGGCACCCTCAGCTCAATATTTGGTTGCACACCCTTTGGGAGAAATAACTGAAACCAATGACTTTCAATAACCATCAACAAGCTTCTTACGCCTCTCAACTGGAATTTTGTAACACTCTTCTTTTGCAAACTGCTCCAGGTCTCTCAGATTTGAAGGGTGCCTTCTTGCAACAGCAATCTTGAGATCTCTCCATAGTGTTCAATGGGATTTAGATCCAGACTCATTGCTGGCCATTTCAGAACTCTCCAGCACTTTGTCTCCAACCATTTCTTAGTGCTATTTGAAGTATGTTTTGGGTGATTGTCCTGCTGGAACACCCTTGACCTCTGACGCAGACCCAACTTTCTGACACTAGGCCCTACATTGCAGCCCAAAATATTTTGATGGTCTCCAGATTTCACGATTCCTTGCACACTGTCAAGGCACCCAGTGCCAGAGGCAGCAAAACAACCCCAAAACATCTTTGAACCTCCACCATGTTTGATTGTAGGTACTGTGTTCTTTTCTTTGTTGGCCTCATTCTGTTTTCTGTAAACAGTAGAATGATGTGCTTTTCCAAAAAGCTCTACCTTAGTCTCATCTGTCCACAAAATGTTCTTCCAGAAGGATTGAGGCTTACTCAGGTACATTTTTGCAAACTCCAGTCTGGCTTTTTTATGTCTCTTTGTCAGCAGTGGGGTTCTCCTCGATCTCCTGCCATAGTGTTTCTTCTCATTCAGATGGCGACGTATGGTCAGAGCTGACACTTTTGCACCCTGAATCTACAAGACAGACACAGCCTGAATTTGTGTGGAAGTTGACTGAGGATGTTTATCTACCATTCTAACTATCCTGTGTTGCATTCTTTCATAAATTTCTCTCTTCCGTCCCTATCCAGGGGGATTAGCCACAGTTCCATGGTTTATAAATTTATTGATTGTATCATGCACAGTGGACAATGGAACTTCAAGATCTCTGGAGATGGTCTTGTAACCTTGAGATTGTTCATATTTTTCCACAATTTTGCGTCTTAAGTCCTCGGACACTTCTCAGCTCTTCTTTCTCTGCTCCATGCTTGGTGTGACACACACAGGCACACAGCACAAAGGTTGAATCAACTTTTATACATTCTAACTGGCTTCAGGAGGGATTTCTATATTGCCAGAACCTGTTACTTACCACAGATGAGTTTAAACAAGCATCACATGCTTGAAATAAAATGATTTACCCACAGTTTTAAAAGGGTGCAAACAATTTTGTCCAGCCCATTTTTTGAGTTTTGTGTATAACTATGTACATTTGTTTTTTTTTTTCTTCTACTTTTTTGTGTTTTTTCAGTGATCATAAAGGAAATCAACATCTATACCAAAACCGTTTGTAATTGCAACAATTTCTGAGAGAAATGTTGTACTTTCTGCAAAAATTCCAGGGGTGCCAATACTTTTGTCCATGACTATATATGTGTGTGTGTGTGTGTTTTTATGTGTGTGATTGACCAAGCTTATTCTGAAAGTAATGTGTGTCATGGCAAGTAGTGACTATGTCATAACTCTGCAGAAACAACCTTTGCACTGTATACAGTTTCCATTTACTTCCTTACCTCTGTCTTTCCTCTCCTGTTGGTTCCCCAGTGACAGGTCCAGCCTATGAGAACCTGGTGTCAGAGATCATGTCGATAGGCTATGAGCGTGAGCAGGTTGTCGCTGCACTCAGAGCCAGTTACAACAACCCAGATAGAGCAGTGGAGTATCTACTAATGGTGAGGATTTAACCAGCAAGCTTGTTGTTCTCCAGCCCCACTTGCCACCATATTCCAGAGTGTGAATGTCCATGTGCTGCAGGGTATTCCTGTGGAGGCCAGTGAGCCTTCCCAACAAGAGCCAATTAGACCCAGTGCTCTACCCAACCCTTCCACCCCTGCTACACAACAACCACAGCAGCCTCCTGCAGCCTCTAACAGTAAGAGCACACATTTATTATTTCTATTTATGTCTGGTATGTCATTGTATCGAAAGAGTCCAACTGCAGAGGACTTTTTTTCCCACCACAGGAGCTTTTCTGGGAGCCCAGGAACTTTTTTATGACACAGGAACCTAACCTACATTTTCAGAGGAGGTGAAAACCCTAACCCTAACCCTATTCTTTTCCCACTATGGATTGCAAATCAATTAGCAGGACAACTTCATGGTACCAATGTATTATTTAATTCAGCATATATTTTATGAGGTACCTTGATTTCTGAAGCTTTCAATTCATTGAACAGTTTAGGAACAACCTTTCTCATCTGATTAACATTGCCTTTAAATTGTTTCCTTGAAAAAGTACTTGCTCACTCTGAACCAGAACAGTAACTGTTCTGTCCTCACCCCACCAGGGCCAGTGTCTGGCAGCCAGCCTCCGACTGCTGGAGGAGGCTCTGTGTCCTCTGGAGGGAATCCTCTGGAGTTCCTGAGGAATCAACCTCAGTTCCAGCAGATGAGACAGATCATCCAGCAGAACCCAGCCCTCCTACCAGCTCTGCTGCAACAGCTGGGCAGAGACAACCCCCAGCTGCTGCAGGTACCACACCGGCATGCCACAGTGACTTTCAGCCATGGACTTGTTTGTTTTTTCTGTTTGTAAGATATTTCAGAAACTGATATTTCAAGATCTGTCAGGTTAGAGTAAAAGTTTTTTTTGTTTGATTGTTTTTTGTTGGATTTGAAAATTTTGAGGGAGAATATGATGTACGTTGCTAATGCACCACATGTGGATTGCATGTCCACACAAATATATTTTAAATAATATGATTTCAAATGATGAAATGTAGTTTTCTTTACATTACTGTCTGAATTCTCAACATTTTTTTTGTTGTGACCTAAAATTCTAGAGCTAATAAAAAATAATCACTTATTATAAAAATGGCAGAAATTTGAAACCTGTGGAAAATGTTTTACGTAAGAAACTACGGTTTTACGTAATATATCTATTTAATTGAAAAACATGACTATGTAGAAGTTAAATAATACTTTGAGACTGTGAATGATGTAATTGTATTACAAAAATCTGACCAAATACACCTGACACTGTTGATGCGATCCGTTTACCATGTCTACTGTATACTGTTTGAATGAGTGATTGATCTATCATCATGATTAGCTGCTCTGAGTCATTTTTGCTAGGCACTGGACACCTGCAAATTATCTGTATGGTGGTATTCAGATTGATTATGTGTGTTACTTCCAGCAAATCACACAGCACCAGGAGCGTTTTGTGCAAATGCTGAATGAGCCACGAAGTGGAGACGCAGGAGGGGAGGGGGCTGAGGCCCAGGGGTCACCACACACCAACTACATCCAGGTCACCCCGCAGGAGAAGGAAGCAATTGAGAGGGTTGGTGTACCAGTCTCACTGACATTACAGTGCAGGAGTCAGTGGTGTTTATGTTAAGCCCCATTGAACTGCTTTGTTGTCTGGTTAACTTGACTCAGTAGTTAGCTAGAGAGGCGGTCTTCAACCTTTTTTGCACCACGGACCGGTTTTAAGTAAGAAATTTTTCTACAGACCGGTCATTACGCACATAACAAATAATAATTGTTTTTTTTTTCTATTGAAAAGTTTCAGAAATGAATAAAATTAATTTTTATTGCTTAATATGTTTACTTTTTCTCCTGTCTCAGTATTAAGTCTCTCCCACTTTCCAAAGCAGCTCTCCTGAAACGTTTGTTTTTGACTGACGGCTTCGTTTAGCAGTCGGGCATAAAAACTGACAGTCAAGTCCGGGAAACGAGCACATACGGAAGTAACGGGAAGACGAGCTAGTCATTTTTCAAAATAAAACACCCTGCCGACTCCGCTGGAAATAAAAATAAACCAATAAAATGTTTTTATTCTATCTGTGCGGCCCGGTACCAAATGACCCACGGCCCGGTACCGGTCCGCGGCCCGGTGGTTGGGGACCGCTGACCTAGAGTATACAAACTTGTGAAAGAATATTTATTTTTCTTTTCAGCATGATGTTGGATTAACCAAACCATTCCAAGCGCAAGCAGCTACAGAGTGAGAAGGCAATATTTGCCAAATAAGTTATTTAAAAAATTGTTCTTGGCCATTCAAAATGAGGACTTATGTTACTGAATCTACATTAAATCAGATATTTGTATATAGATTGGAATCTCTTCTTTTGTTTTACAGCAGTTGGCATCCACCTTATTGGTGCATTACCACTATAATTAGAATGTCTTTTCTAAACAACAGTTGGGGACAAGAAATGTTCATGACAACAAAATCAGCAAAAAGAAACAATACAAAATAATAAACAAAGATTGTTGCAATATTCATAAAAACACAAGATCATAAAGCTTTAAGATCTCCAGTCTCTTGTTTGATTGCAGTTTGTTTCTATTTAAAAGATGTGAAGTCCCTAAAACCTTTTATTTCTAATCATTGCTTGCGAAGTGCAGATTTTCAGTCACCAAGTTGATGGAGCGGTGCAGCTACTTAAGCAGCACCAATGTTTTTGTATTTGCTAAATATGTTGTATTCCTATGTATATTTGTATTTTCTTATATCCTCTTGTCGTGTCATTTCATGCATGCATATGTGCCCTTACGTGTAACTGTCTCAGACACAGCTGTCCCAATATATGTGTGCCTAATGTGATGGTTAATGTGCCTAATGTGACAACATGTTGGTTGTGTTTGCAGTTAAAAGCGCTGGGCTTCCCTGAAGGCTTAGTGATCCAGGCTTACTTTGCCTGTGAGAAGAATGAGAATCTGGCTGCTAACTTCCTTCTACAGCAAACATGGGATGATGAGTAACCACACATCACTCAACACTTCACCGTTCAACAGAGGGCTGCAGAGTGGGTGACAGCACTGCACAAGGCCATCAGGAAGCGACACAAACAGGAGAGGAAGAGGACATTTCTATTCATGCCATGTGACTGTGGTCTGATGATGATGGTGGTAGTGATGATGACATGCTGTTCAAAGTTAGCTGTGCTGCCTACTCTCCATTCAGTTGTGATGATCATGATATTGAGCATTGCCTCACTGCTGCTACATCATTGCTGCTGCTGCTTGTACTGAGTGATCACACTGAGAGAAGTCATATCCGGATATATGCCAACAGTCTGCATCACCTTCACAGGCCAGCAGGAGTTTATTCAGAGGGTGTCCTCTTCAGGGAGCTCACAGGCTGCCTGCAGATTATGTGTTAAACTACTGTATACATACAGTATACACCAAGTGTATCTGTAGTTAATATATAAATAAGAGAAATGCATTTTCAACATGTGCATTCGCAAACCCTTTATGTTGGAGTTACCTGAAAGTGTGATGCAAACTGTTGACTTCACTGTTTGAAAGCTAGTGTTGCTTTATATTAGAGATCAGGTTTAATCCAGGTTTATTTCTTCTGATTCTTTTGTCCTTGGAAAAAAAAACCCCAAACACTTAAAATGTTACAAACTGAGTGCTTCCCAGTAGCAAAAATGTATTCTTCTGATTGTGTGCGACCTTTCATTAACCGTGCAGATGTGGTTCTGTGGTTTCATCCAGGAAAATCAAATCTGCATGGTGAATGAATTTACTGCAGGAGTATTTACAATATTGCCAACCATTCATGTACGAAAAGAAAAAATACAGCGTGTTTGGAATGAAGAACTGAAGATAGTAAGTCCAGATTACAACTATGTATTTTAAGTTTCGACTTAAGTTGAATTTTGAGGTAGTAAGTGGTTCATAGTTTTGACTTTGTAAGTCAAGACTTAATGCCTGAACATGTTGTATTAGTATCTTAGAATGTTGCTGTCTGACTTTTATCTTACTTTCACTCACTATGCATTATTATTGTCATTATTTGTTGTATTTGCAGTTATTGTTTTCAATTTTTTGTCACGAATGATGACTAAAAACAGTGACCATTCAAAATTTGGTAAGGTCTGTCTGCTGTAAACCAACAGCTACATCCACTACCAGAAGAGAGACGACACTGAAATAGTTTTGCAGTCACAGTATATTCTGATTACTTGCTGGGAGGGTTACACTCTGATGCAGCATTCTGCTTGAGAAATGATGTTCAGGTCTTTCATCACTGAGGAGGCTTTTTGTTTTGTTATGTATTTTGCAGATGAAAGCATATGAAGTTTGATAACAATTGATTATGAAGTGCCACCTTTTTTTAAAATGAAAAGTTGCGCTCTTTGCTTCACATCCTTCTTTCAGACAATCTTTTTAGTTCAGTTTTCCTCATACCACATCTTCTATGCATCTTACAGCTGTAAGAGGTTGAGCCATTGCTCCTTCATGCCTTATGGTTAAAGACTTGAACATGTTTTATTTGACAAATGGTGTTGTAGTTTACAATATAGTGTTTTAAGCAGATTTCAAAGAAGAGCATACTAGGATTGGTGACCATTATTAGTTGTTTAATCATTGATAATCAGTTATTCTTTCAATAGTGCACTAAAGGGAATTTGAATAAGTGCTAAATCCAAAACAAATATACATCTATTTTTTTCAGAATTCAGCATGTGCGTTTACTGATCTTTGTTGTGTTTGAACTGGAAATGACTGGAAGTGTTCTGTTATGGTGTCAATGGGAAAAGCAAACTGAGAGAAAAAGGTACTTTACTATGACAAATGCTGCTCTTTAGCTGTGTGGGACTGTTGGTTGCATGAGATTATTTATAGCATGGCAGTGGGTTAAGGACCGACGAAACCGCCAATGTGGTGTTGCTCTGATTTCAGCTGTTCTGTTGTTTTATCCATTTTGTCAATGTCTCGTTTCCTTTATGAGTTTATAAAGAAAAAACAAAAAACAAAACAAACAAACAAAAAAAACTTACAACCTTAAATACACCAGTTAAGAAGTAGTTGTGATCTTCTTTTGTTTAAGCATTGTGTAAAATAAATGGCTTTTACTAAATGCGTGAGAAGAGATGTTTTATCATAAATTGTCATTTTGCAAGTGCACATCACGTTTTTACTGTCAAGTACACATATTGAGTTATTCCTAAACCATAAAGCTGAGCTTCAAAAGAGAATCATATCCACTGAAGGAGTGCATATCAGACAACTGCAATTACAAAGTCACAAGTAACCGATTTTTGAGTTCATCCTAAAAATGAAGGTTTTCATATATGAACTCAAGATTTATTATGCAGCTTCCACATATCTGCATTAAGCATCACATTCTGTAGTACAGACTGTGAAAAAAGCTGTAATGTAAATAAAAAGAGAATCAGTTTAAGCTGTGCATCTTGTTTGTTTAATGTTAGTGCCAATATCGCAGCTTACCTTAATGATAAATGGGGGCCACTGGAGGGTGCTGCTGGGACCGCTGGGGCCGCTGGGACGGTCCTACTGGGGCCACTGGCCGCTGGGGGGCGCGCTGCCTACAGAGGGAGGGTGGGCGCGTTCCCGCAGCAACAGGGAAGATGGCAGCCCTCACATCTCTCACCCAGGTAAAGATGCAGCGATTTACCAGCACACGCTTCAGCGGCAGGCTAAGATATTTAGCGGTGTGATACGGAATGTGGGCTTGACGACATTCTCGATTAAATTCCCGTTAAACAACACACAAGCTGCCTTTAAAATGCAGATAGAAATAAGACAGTCAGCTGCTCGAATAAGGCCTGTTGCCATACCGTTAGGTAGCGGGCTGGTTAGCATCAGTTGGTGCTAGCTAGCCGTGTAGCTGTTTACCTAGGACATGTCTTACAGGTCACCAACTAATTGAACAGTAAATATAATAAACATCATGGACGGTGTATTTAAAGTTAGAACTGGGCCGTTATGGACACGTATGTGTATCAAAGCATCATAAACTGTAAGAACGTTCACTCCTAAAGCTAGCAACCCGTAGCTAGCTTAGCCTGGATGCCAAGGACTGGGAGGATGAGCATGAAGGCTGGTGGAGGCTTCTTTTGATCCATGATGCTGATGTGAGCTGACTGGTAGCCAAGTCAACCAGGCTGAGGCTGGTCAGCAGGCAGAGGAGTGGTAGTGTTTAGCCTGCTGCGGCTGTACATCACCAGTATACTGTGGTACTGCTGTTAGTCTATGATGTTGTAGCGCCAGTGCGAACTGAAATGATCATAAAGCGAGCGTTTTGTTGAGCAGCGTTGTCCTCGTAATTGTCTGTTGTGTTGAAATCTGCACGCACGACATCCACTGCTCGTGTGCCCGCCCTGCCAGATGAGTGTCCCTGCTCTGCTCCAGGGTGACCGGGGTTCAGTTGTCTGCTGAGGGTTGTTTACGTCCAGCAGGTCAGAACTAAACCAAGATGTTTAGAGATTCATAATATCTATGAAAATTGTGACCAGAATTGACGTTGAAAATGACGGCTAAAACCACACATGTTATTTTTCTGGTCATAAACTTTCTCTTAGGATAATATTAACTTTTGGGAAGCATTAAAACAATAAAGTACCTTCAGATAATATCAGCCTGTTGTTTAGAAGGATAACAAATGTGCCTTTAAGCTCAGATTTTCTGTTAGAGACTGAAATGCTGCAGTTGCTATGACATAGTAGGTAAAGGTGGATTTAACAACAGATCAGAGACAGATTGGATGCTCTAAACAAATGTAAAAGATGTGCATTGATTGATTAGTGATTCACACGGTGTACATCAGCAGATAGACAGACAGTCTTTACGGCAGCTTTTCTAAACAGTTTCTGGACATTAACCAGGTGAAGTTATATGTCATCATGTGGTTGATGTGTGCACTTTTAATTTTTTAGCAAAAAATCGGTTTCTTTGTGAGGTAATGTTTAATGTGAAGCTGAGGCTTTACTAGGGAAAGGCTGCTCAGAGTTTCTGTATGTGTGGTTCAGTCATCAGATCAGCTTCATGCCTTAATGCAAAACAAGACAGCGGATCTCTTGTCTATTCTTAATAAGAATTTGCTATGTAAGACAATAATTTGTTTCTTGGGATGCTATTAAGCAGGCAGCGTGTGCCTGTGTTAAGTTGTGATTATCACCAGTTAAGATGGTTGTGTTTCCTGATTCATCAACGGGTGTTAAACAACTGACAGGGAAAAAAACATGCATGCAGGTAAAGCAGGCCACCAGCAGATTGGTGACACAATGAGGAAAGTGTCTGCGTTCCTTTTTTGTCAGAGACACAGGCCTTTATTTTTTGTTTTTTGTACTGTTTTCCATAGATGATATTGATACAGATATGCAACATACAATCACCAACTGATGTTTTTATTTTTGGCAAGCTCTTTATCTCGTTATACTTGACAACCGCGTGCACAAGGATTGGAACATGTAATCAAACGTCACCAGACAACATGCACACCAGTTAAGCGGTAACATTCCATCTGTTCCTCTTATTACATTTTTTCCAGATGTTTATCTGAATCTGACAGTGTCATATGATGTGTGCATGTTGTAAAGCCTCTTGAAGAAAATTTGTGATTTGAGTGATTAGGTTATGTACAAAAATCTGCCTTGGCTTGATTTTAGGGTTAACTAGATATGTGAGTCAATACAGGTCACACAAAGTTTCATTCAGCTGGTAGAAGATGGTGCATAGTTTTCAGTTTGAAATAAAAATAAAAATACACTGCTTGGACCAACCTTCGTTGTAGAGAGAAGTGCATGTTATTTTATGGTGTAATTACACTCTGTCTCTGCCACAGCTGTCAAGTGGGAACTCTGTATATGAGAACTTTTACAGACAGGTAAGATGATGACACCAAGGATGTTGCTTTACTGCCACCCTAACTGATATAAAACAATATGAAAGACAGTTCACATGAGAGAGAGAGAGAGAGAGAGAGAGAGAGAGAGAGAGAG